GGCCTGAGGGGGGCGGGCCTTTGCTGAAGCCAGTAACATAACGTTCTGGGGCCACATTAAAAAAAATCCAGGGACAGGAATATTGAAACCACATTTTTACTTCTAGTGCCTCAGTGCAACCACAAAAGTTTGGGAGACATTTTACACTTTAAAACTATACATTTATGACATTTATGTGTTTTGTAGATAATTGGACGATTCTCTTTGCATTTTTAAAACCAGTTGTAAAGAGACACATGCCTTAAAAATGTTAAACTTTAGTCTTATCAGTGGAAAGACTATTTTTATTATTGGAATCATCAAGATGGCTTCTGAATAAAAATGTTTTCCCAAGAGTTATGTTTTAATGTAGGCGAATATTTGAATACCAACATTTATTTGATGTTCTAAAACACTAATGTATGGTGGCCAGGAGTTGAGAGCGCAACATCAAAGTGTTGGATGATATAATTTTTTTATTTGCGGTGCTTTTATGCTTTTACATTTAATTTGCACCTCTCAGCCATTGTGACAAACGTGAAAAGAAGAAAACTAGCAGGAAGTGGGCAAAAGCTTTTCTGCATTTCAACAGAAAGGCCAATAATAAGCATTGCATCACATCCTTCTAACTGGAGCTACGTCTCTAATTTTTAAGATCTGACATGTGTAGCTTTCTAACACCTCTGAAATAGACATGACTAATCCAAAACTGATTATGGATCATTTTAGCAGCTCCTTCAATTCTAAACTAGCAGATAAAGTTCAATCACTTTAAGATATACCAGTTTTTAAAGAAGTACCTTCGCGTATATTTACAGGCATTTAAAAATAAAACAGCTTAACCAGACCACATCTGGATAATATCCATTGCATGGATTGACCATTTTAATCAGGAAGATCATCTTCAGGATAAAACATTACTTCAGTTTAACCAGAAGTATAGATGAAGATCTTTGAGCAAAAAGTCAGTTTCTGTTTACAATAAATATATTTAAATAATTTATCTAATTAACTTACTTGAACCCACAATCAGTTGTAGGGTGGAGTTATGCTGCCCCCTGCTGTTTCTGGCCTCACAGTAATAGTTTCCACCATCTTCATATCTGATGTCCACAATGGTCAGCATTGGTCCATCTGCTGCTGGTGAAGCTGTGTTCTCTTTGTACCAGGCATACGTAGCTGCTGGGNCACATCCTTCTAACTGGAGCTACGTCTCTAATTTTTAAGATCTGAGATGTGTAGCTTTCTAACACCTCTGAAATAGACATGACTAATCCAAAACTGATTATGGATCATTTTAGCAGATCCTTCAGTTCTAAACTAGCAGAAAAAGCTCAAGCACTTTAAGAGATACCCGTTTTTAAAGAAGTACTTTCACGTATATTTACAGACATTTAAAAATAAAACTGTTTAACGAGACCACATCTGGATTATATCCATTGCATGGATTAACACTTAACAGTTTTAATCAGGAAGATCATCTTCAGGATAAAACATTACTTCAGTTTAACCAGAAGTATAGTTGAAGATCGTTGAGCAAAAAGTCAGATTTCTGTCTACAGTAAATATATTTATATAATTTATCACATTGACTTACTTGAAACCACAATCAGTTGTAGGGTGGAGTTATGCTGCCCCCTGCTGTTTCTGGCCTCACAGTAATAGTTTCCTCCATCTTCATATCTGATGTTCGCAATGGTCAGCATTGGTCCATCTGCTGCTGGTGAAGCTGTGTTCTCTTTGTACCAGGCATACGTAGCTGCTGGGTTAGCATCACTGCTGCAGGTCAGATTCACTGAACCTTCCACCACTATCTCACCAGGTGGATTCACAGAGACCGAGGGGAGCCTTGGAGGATCTGCAGGAGAATAAATCACATTTAGTCAACTTTTATTAAAGAGACATGCTTGAAAATGTTTGCAAGATAATTGGCAACATTTATGAACCTCAAATGATCTGTTTGTGACACATTTTCACAACCCAGACTACTAGAACTTCTTTGCCAGAGGAAGTAAATTATAATCTATTTAATTGTTGTTTCAACACATTAAGTAAATCACCAAAAGTATCTGACCTATGAACTAAAAAGGAGATGTCCAGCTTGAATAAGTCAAAAGAGAATGACTGAGTGACCAACTGATATTCTTAGTCAGACTGATGCTCAATGTAAAGAAATATCATTAAACCAGCTGCATTACTTACATTTCACATCAACATTTAGGTTAGTAGATCTTTTCCCCAGCTGGTTCTCAGCTTCACAGTAGTATTCACCAGAGTCAGACNTTATTAAAGAGACATGTTTGAAAAAGTTTGGAAGATAAGTTGCTATATATGAACCCAGACTACTAAAACTTCTTTACCAGAGGAAGTAAATTATAATCTTTTTAAATGTTGTCTCAACACTTTAAGTAAATCACCAAAAGTATCTGACCTATAAACTAGAAAAGAGATGTCCTGCTTCATTAAGTCAGAAGAGTATGACTGAGTGACGGAGTCAGACTGATGCAAAATGTAAAGAGATATCATTAAACCAGCTGTATTACTTACATTTCACATCAACATTTAGGTTAGTAGATCTTCTTTTCCCCAGCTGGTTCTCAGCCACACAGTAGTATTCACCAGAGGCAGACGATTGGATGTTATTCAGGAGAAACTCTGAAACTCGACTGTGAAGTTGAAGGATTGAAGTTTTAGTCTTCTTGTACCAAGTGTAGTTTGCTGGTGGATTAGCTTTACTGCTGCACCTCAGAGTCACTGAGCTGCCTTCAAATATGTCAGCAGAGGGATCAGCTGAGAGAGAAGGAGAAACTGGAGCATCTGGAGGAGATGGAAACAAAATGAAAGAAAACCTGAAATCTCAGAAGAGACACTAATAAGTGATTCAGCTGTTTTGGATAAAGATGTTGAAATAAACTCACATATTAAAGGAGCAGGGAAATCCTCATGTCCTTTAACAGCGCAGGATACGCTGTCTAGATAGTTGCTATTTATTGAATACGTAGATTTATCATGGTCGATCTCCCGACTGTTTATGTACCAAACATATGTAGAGTGGGAGGGTAAAAGACAAGAGCTGGAACACTTCACTGTTTTATAGGAAGATGAGTATCTGCTTTGGACAGAAACAGTTAAATGTGGGTCTGTGGGGAGAAAATTTGAATTTTTGATAAACACCACAATGATATCTATTATATTATTGTTTAATATTTAATAATCCAAACCTGTGACAGACAATCGGATTCCTGGTTCAGCAGTATAGCCTCCACCTGATAGGTTGGTAATAAACCTAAACTTGTAAACAGCTGAGTCGCTTTCTTTCACGTCTGTAATCCTCAAAGTGCAGCTCTTCTTCCCCCTAGTCTCATCACAGCTGTTTGTCACACGCCCTTCATACTCCTCCTGTGTCTCCAAACTGACAGGATAATTTCCAGTAATCCAAAATGTTTCTATCACGTTGGTGGATGTGCGCCCTGATTTAGGTGGGTGTCTATACTCGCATTTCATTTCCACCGTTGATCCTTTAAAGGCACAGATATCCCCCTGAGAAGGGCTGTAAGTCACTCCCCAGTCATTATTACTCTGAACCTCTGAAACACAGAAAAACAACAGAAACATATTGAGGGAAATTAAACAGTATTGTCTATTTTACCATGATTCTCCAGATAAAACAAAAAGGGTCTAATGTCACAATCTGTACATTTTTTTTTTTTTTTTTGCAGTATTTCTGTAGTTCCTGTTAAATCAAGTAAATTACTTATGTAATGATCTTTCAACTCCCACAGCAGAGAAACGATTTCTTTAACATTTCAATCTCACAAACAGGAGTAAAGGATGTTTGTTTTTTAGTTACTAAAAATAGACTGATCACTATGAACAGAAATGCTCAGTTTTCTGTAAAAATAAAGATAATAAAGATAATTATTTAATATT